GGAGGAGGGGGGTGGGTTGGGTGGGGGGGGGGGCGGGCGGCGGGCGGCGGGGATTCATGGCAGCTCCAACTGCGCTGGTACGGTACGCACCCAGAAAACACGTGGTTCTCAAGACAAGCGGGCCTCGGAGAAGATAGCAGCAGAGGAGAGCCTCCTCCTGTCGACGGAGATCATGGAACGCGGGTTCGCCGGCCTTCTCGATCTAAGCGCGGTCGACTTCCTTCGGTCGGTGAACTTGAAGCATGCGAAGCTGGGCTACCGCTACCTTATCGTACTTGGCCGCGGTCCCGGTGGTCGTCGCCGTGTTTGGCGCGGAGGTGGGGAGCGCCTGAGAGAGGGAGGTGATGAGCTACGATGCTGGCCTTCTTCTGCGTAAGCCATGAGGAGAGAACAAAGGGCTGTATGGAAGTGGGCGGCAATGCGGTGGAGGCCAACATCACCCACCACCAAAAAATAACAAAAATTGGAGATGCGGGGTATCGAACCCCGTGCCTCTCGCATGCAAAGCGAGCGCTCTACCGTTTGAGCTACATCCCCAACTTGAAAATGAAGCTGCAATTTCTCTATTTAAAATCTATATCATTTCTCATGCATAGCCCCCAGGTATGCTGTTCGATTCATCTTCTATTTGCTGGACTCGACTCGAAGAATAAGAGCACACAGTTGGAGCAAGAACTAATCTCGGGGACATTAATTTGGTTCCGAGATTGATGAAGAATGTGTATATCTGATATTAAACATGACGATTTACATGGAACACACATTTAATACATGCTGCATTAAGATACAGAGCATCTATTTACATACACCCATCACGACCATTTCCCTTGAATGCTCAATCCCAAGCGTAAGCATCTTCGCATGTTATCGTTGACCTGCTCTGTCACCACTCTGCTAACCTCCCTGTGAATATGCAGAGTATGTGCTGTCGAAGCCATTTCCGTTGCCTAAAATTGGCAATAACCTCTGATTGTGGATCCTACGCCACCATTGACACGACACCATCACGGCGACATGTGACGTGGACTATGAGCTCTTAGGCACTCTGCTTTTGGCTGTCATTAATAGCTTTTGTCTCTCTCCCTCTACCTCCGCAAACTGCAGACTGAGCAGAGAGTATCGACCCTGCATCTCTTTGAGCTCAGTCTCGGTGGCAGCGTTCCTGCTCTTCAACTCGAGCATCTCTTTTATCAATTCATTAATGTCCCTGAAGCTCTGGAACACTGCTTCTTCATCATTATGTTGTTTCAGGAACGAGCTGTGCATCAACCAAAAGAAAAAGGTGAACAGTCTGAATGTATGCTTTCATTCAAGAGAAAAGTTACATTCAACTTGGCGACTATATTCTGTTTATCGACTCGCTCTCTGATCCTGGCTTGACAGGTTGGTGGAGTAAATTTGTCAGGCACAGCCCCTTCATCAAGGTTTAGTAACATACTTTTCAGCTTTGATGAAGACCAGAGACAACACTTGAAGATGTCTAGGTTGAAATGGGACAACAATCACAATATACATGAAATCCTAGGATTTGGCAGACAACAATCACAATATAGGTGCAATCCTAGGATTCATCAGACGTACCAAAAGGATGCTACATAAGTCGTCGGTTATGATGGACGCTAACAGTTTTTACCAACACCATGCATCGAGTACTTAATAGGCAAATCTGGTAGGTCACTGGCTGTATATTATGTTTGTTCGATGATACCACTAGATAGGGACATTTTAAAAGTGAGAAAAAGGTCAGGAGTCCGGACGCTGTAATGGAACTAGAAGTGAAGATAAAAACCTAATGATTAATCAAAAGCAAATAAATGTACCTCTGGAAATGAAGATCGGCTTTCTTCTTTGTCTGCAATGCTTCTGCAAGTTCAAGTTCCAGTGCAAGTACTCTTTCCAATGCATTGCCACTTCCAGGAAGTTCATTGAACAAAGGGAAAATGCTTCTCAGTTGCTCATTTGCCTAACCAATGGAAGTTGAGAAATAGTTCTTAAAACAAGAGGCACAAATGTACGAATAGCTTTTCTTGGCTTGACACACGATACATACCATATCAAGTTGTGACAAATCTCTTTCTAAACCCCGAAGGGATGGTACGCCCTGATGATCTTCTAATGGAATCAGTGATGACAAATTTTCATTTCTTAGTTTCAGCAACTGCAAAGGTTGAAAATGTAAGACACAGTATTAGCCTGCTGCAATTTGATGTTTTGCAGAAACAACAATGCAGAAATAAAAAATATGCCTAATTCTTCATTCCCACTGCATGTCGACCCTAAATCACTGTGGGGCTTAATTTCCTTCAAAATCAAGGTGGCTATTGTTATTATCACCACATATATTCATTATGTGCCCTTTTACACCAGTACGGCCCCAGCGGTACTCAGCCCATTTTGAAAGATGATAAACATACCCACAATATCAGAGAGCTCCACATCTTTTTTCCTTCTTGAATATTTTTTGTATGAATAAAGCTTCTCAAAAATCTTTTCATCTTTTGTTATCAACTATATTCTTCCTCGAGTTTCCACAAACTTCGCAATGTTAACTACACTGCAATTACGCTACGCGACAAGGTTTGTGACCCTATCATTCCACAATAACTACCCTCAAATTTAAGGGTATATACAGATTTGTGTTAATCAGCCATTATTAAAATGGTCAG